CGTCTTTGAGTGACCACTGGATCTCATTCCACAGCTTGGCGTTGCTCTTGTCCTCCTTGATGAGGCTGCTCTGCTGTGCTGTCAGGCTGTAGGGCTCCACCTTGCTCTTCTTGGGGGTCCCTCGAGGGGATCCGCTGCTGGATTTGCACCCTGCCAGGACAGGAGGAGTGAGTGAGGGCGGGCGAGTGACCCCCATAACAGTCGGTGGGAACGCACACGGACACCCACCTGCCGACTTGCTCTTTCGCTTGCCCTTGCCCTTCCTGGGGGACGTGAAGTCCTCTTCCTCCTCCTCCTCCTCTGTGTCCTCCGCCACCCTCTTGCGGTTCTCCTTCTCTTTCTCCTTCCTGGCCAGGGCCTCCAAATAGCCTTCAGGATACTGTGAAAGGAGACAAGTCGTGAAGGACAAGCTTCCGTCCCTGCAGGTATCTGCCTCCCCCCCACTCCTGGCACCCCTTTGTGCTTCCCGCCACCTCCCTCTGACACTCACCTCCCAGCCTTAGAGACAACCTCTGTCTGACCCAGCCCTGGGGCCTCCTATCAGGCCTGGGGCCTCAGGCAGTCACTCACTAATCACCAACACTTACCTGGAATAAAAGCTACAGGCACCATCCACCAGGCAGGGTGCAGGGGAGGTGTTAAATGAGATAATGCTTAGTATTGGCAGATGCTTAGCAACAGAATAGGCAAATAGAATAGGTGACTACCTTGTTTTTTGAAGTTAGGGGTAGGCTACTTTTCCAACAGGAGCCAGAGTAAACATTTCCAGCTCTCTGGGAAATAGTGAGAAACAGTGAGAGCCAGGCAGGCGCATCAGTGAGTGACACACCGCCCCCCCTCCCCGGGCCTTGGCTTGTCATCTACACCCCAACCAAGATCCTGCTGCATCCTGGCTTCCTCAGACTCTGCCTCCCGGACTCCACCTTGAAGGAGCCTATACAAGCCCGGCAGGCTGCAGAGGTGACATCAGGAAATGTCTGCTTAGCCACATGAAGCCACTATGCTGACGGAAGTCAGAAAGCAAAACCTTCCTTCCACCTACCCCAGGCGACTCCCCCACCTCGCAGCCTCTGAAATCCCCTGGCACAAACATTATGTTCAAAAGGCAACTGCCTGTGCCCCTGGGTGGAAGCACTAGCAAGCGCTCAATAGCAATTAAGATTCCTTAAATAGTCCCACAACAATCTATCAGCTGTAGAGCATCTCACCATAACGAACAGAAAACACCATAATTATAGTGGGAAAGCGCTGTATTCCCGCCTTGGGTAAACTCTGCAAGCGTCTGCTGCATGAAGAGGTGAGCAATGCCCAGGGCTGGGCCTCCTGCCTTCAGCCCAGCTGCTCGGGTCACTCTCTCGGTTGGAAGTTGGGGTTTATTTGGGGGAGGGGGGGTGTAAAATCGCCATGTGAAGAACAGAGGAGACTGGCTTCCAAGCTGATTTTGGACAAGCTCCTCTGCTCAGACTGTGATCAGAGTCTGGATCAGAACTGCAAGACTGCGAATGGGCAGAGAGGCAAAAACTCCCCCTCTGCTGCCAGCGCCCACCGGCCAAGGGGACGGCGGTGAACAACTGGACCGGCCAGGGGACGGCGGTCCGGAATCTGGAAGTTACTTAGGATGGAAGAAGCCCAGCAGAGTTCAGGCCCGGCACCAACACTCGGGCTGGCTGCTGCCGCAACCCCCAGAAGCTGACCCATCATGACAAGCCCACGGCGCCCAGACATTAGCTGCCAGGACAGGGCAGAGTTGGCAGCCAGCACCCCGGCGCGCCCAGCCAGGCCGCACCTGCATGGTCAGCCCCAGCTTCTTGATCCGGTCCTTCCCCTCCTTGGTCCAGGGGCCAGGCTCATCGTCATCTCTCCGCAGGAGATAGCGCCACACCAGAAAGCCAGATTTCCCCTTCTCGGGCCAGTACCTCACGACCTGCAGGAAGTGAGGGCCAAGGTCAGAGACCTGCCACCCAGTGGTGGCCGCCACAGAGGCGCCCTCCCCCACCGCCCAGGGTGCTCACCTTATAGATGCCGTCGTACCGGTTGCCCTCGGCGGGGGCGTACTTGCTGTGCTTGCCACCCTTGACATTCCGCACCACCCTGACCGGCTTCCCTGCCCTCCAGTCCTTGGCCTCGGCCCCTTTGCGGTCGTTGATGGGGGCACTGCAGTTCAGAGCCAGCGCCCTGTGGGGAGCGGGGGAGCGGATGCCCTGCAGTTGGTGTGTCTCCCAGAAGGCTGGGACTGGACAGTCCTCACCCCTGGCACCTGTAGCTTTCTTTGGGAACAGGTGCTTCCAGAGGGAATTCAGGCCAGGATGGATGAAGGGGCCCTAAATCTCATGACTGGTGTCCTTACACGCAAAGGGAATTCAGGCGCTCACACACACGTGCGCAGGGAGGCCATGTGGCCACATGGAGATGGAGGAGGAGATCTGAGGGTGTGTCTGGAAGCCTCGGGCAGCCAGGATTGCAGCCACCCCCCAGCCAAGGAGTGGGAGGAAGGACTCGCCTCTCCGGGTTTCAGGGGAGCACAGCCTTGCTGTCATTGACTTCAGATGTGGGGCACAGATCACTGGGCAAGGGGAACTCCCACTGTTTTCAAACCCCAGGTCAGATGCTGGTACAGGCACCCAGGACTCTCACACACAAGGAAAGATGCCATCCAGGTGCCACAGTAGGCCTGGCCAGCAGGGCAGCGAAGCCGGGGACCAGAGCGGAGGTCAGGCTCACCCCTGATGCAGTGGGGCTGCTTCCTCGGGAGTGAAAGAAAAGCCAGCCGCCACGAGACCGTTCTCTGCACAAGCACACGCAAGGAATGATGTCATGGCGCACTGCACATGACCACTACAGACAGCGCATGAGCAGTTCCCATGTCCTGAAAGCTCCCCTGCAGGTGGAAAGCTTGATGTCCACTCCAGTTAAAATACTCCACTGGAGGAATGAATGCCCAACAAGGAACTCCTCCTCCTCATTTCCTACTGATATTTGAGTAAATATGACACATCAAAGCCTCAACTCCCGTGAGTCCATCTATGGGGTCTTTTCAACGGGGATCTGTAGGGCGATGAGTAAGGACAGAGGCAAGGCTCTGTAGCGGGAATCTTTCCAGCAACACAGATTTCTGCCTACAGTGGAACACTGCTGGCAAGATTTGGCATTTGTCAACATTTTAAAATTCTTGACCAATACTACAGGGGAAAGAAACGGCGCTGCACCAATGCCTACACTTCTGTTTCTTTGAAACTGAAACTGAACCATCTGTCATGGTCACGAGAGGTACATTTCCTTGGGGGAATTATTATTATGTCCTTTTGACTTTTTTCAATTCGTTTTTCTTGATTTGCAGCAGCTATACATAAAGGACGTAACCATCACGTGTCACATCTCGATGGGATTTATGGAAGCAATTTATGAGATGCACATCACCAAGGCTCTGTCTTTTCCTTGGGGCTTTCTGAGAACTTAAAAGTCTCCAGCATCCTGCAGTCCTGTCTCAGCCCACTCACCTACCACCTGGTTTTGCAAATAAAGTTTTATTGGAACACAGCCACGCTCACTCGGTTACACACGGTCTACGTTTGCTCTGGTGCTACGACAGCTGCCCAGCAGCTGCAATAGAAACCTGCATTAAGTCGCAACTGTTACCTGGCCTTTGGGGGAGAGTTTGCTTTGATGCATCTGAAATACTCCCAAGTATCAAGCAAGCAAGAGAAGGGGGGAAAATGGTTGTCCATTATCCCGACTTCATCACCCTCGTCACAGGAGTCCAACTTTCTGGGCAAGATGCCCCCAAAGAACAACCTCCCCTACAGCCAGGACACAGGGGAGAAAATCTGCTTTCACAAACCTGTTAGTGTTGGTGAGTTTCTGGTCACAAGACTGCTCTGCAGTCCGCTTGTTGCCGGAAAGGTCTCGGCCACCGCTACCTGTGTATGTGAAAAAGTTCCCGTGGTCCTGAAATAGATGGAAGGGCCTGGTGAACATTCTGAAAACAAACTCCCCACACCCATCGGGATGGCAACCACCGGAAGCAGACACTGGTGTTGGGAGGGTGTGCAGGAACTGGAAACCTTGTAATGGCTGGTGGGAATGTGGGATGGTGCAAGGCGGAGAATGCATGAAAGTGCCTCAGAAGCTGAAAAACAATAACCTCAGGGAACCTCCCTGGTGGCGCAAGAGATTAAGCCGCTGCACCACGAAGCACTATGAACTGCTGCACTATGAAGCACTGTGAAGCCATCTGCAGCCACTGCAGCATGAACTCAATCCCCAGCCAGGAGCTGAACCCACAGGGCGCAGCAGACCTCGCCTGTCTCGCCCGCTGCTCCCCTCAGCAGTGTACTTTATCAATCTACCTGTTCTGCTCCCCACTCTGTCTTTGGTGAAGCCTCTCACCGCCCCTGCACCTCTGGCCTGTACCCCAGTTCTGTATGCATACATAAATAAATCTTAAAAAAAAAAAAAAAAAAAAACCTCAGCACCCAGCAATGCTGCTTACAGGTAAGCGCCTCCAAGGAACTGGAGGCAAGGTCTCAAAGTGCGAGTCACGCATTCATGCTCACAGAAGCACAGGTCCAAGAGCGAAAACGTGGAAACAACTGCCTACCAGCCGGTGAATGGATGAGCAAAAGATGGCCCACACACACCGTGCGGTCCTAGCCAGCCCTAAGGATGGTGATTCTGGCACACATGACAGCGTGGATGAATCCCGAAGGCACAACGCACCGTAAACTAAGTCACACACAGGAGGAGGCACTGGAGGAGCCTCGGCCAGGCAGAAGTGGGAAGGTGGTGCCAGGGCACGAGGAGGTGGGAGGGGAGTTAGTGGGTAAGGAGGTGGGAGGGGAGTTAGTGGGTAATGGGGCAGAGTTTCAGCTGGGGCAAAGATGTGAAAGTTCTTGAGATGGCCGGTGGGGACGGCTGCACCACAGTAAAAATGTACATGATGCCCACGACGGCACTTAAAAATGGTTAAAACGGCAAAATTTGTTCTCACATTTGCCACTGGGAAAAAAAAAAAATATCAACCAACCCCATCACACTCACCACATCATCCTCGTACCCCCCAGCCAGGACCAGGGAGTAGGCCCCGTCGTTGCTCCGGCCATGGATGCCTGCCACGTGAGGCCGGTGGACTCCTGATTCGCTGACCTACAGAAATCAACGAGCAATAAACCGTACTTTCTGGGCTGGCAGCTACTGCGACTCGCCAAGCCCGCCCCCGCCCCCATGCCTCCATAGCCAAGTCTCAGCCACAGCACACAGCTGGCTTGTGTTCCAGCCCTGCCACTTGCTCTGAAGCAGCTTCCGAAAGGCTGGCACCCGAGCGCCACGCCCCGGGGTCCCGGGATGTCGCAGGTACCTGGACTCTGAACCTCCACATGGTGCCCACGGGGATCCCCGGGATGGGTCCATAGTGGTTGGATGGCACGATGGTACACTCCTTGGTGCGCCCCACACAGGCCATGCCCTGCTCATTCAGAAGCAGAGGGAAGAGCGGTGAGTGAGAGCAGGAAGGTGCAGGGCTGTGGGGGGAGGCGAGCGTGGGGAGGGCCTCTCACCTTGCCCCAGTCCCGCCGGGAGGATGATGTGGCCGATGCCATCTTGGCCTTCTTCTTGCTCTCTTTCAGCTTCTCCCCTGCCAGTACCACCTCGCTGGCATCATTTCGACACTCAGGACAGTACCTACATGAGGGATGTCACCGTCTGTGTGAAAGCCCTGTCTTTGGCCTGCCCATTCAGCTGGCCACAGGGCAGAGTCGCCCTCTGGCTCCTGGCTCCATGCTGCCCGAGCTGTCCAAGATGGGGGCCATTTACACTGAAATTCATTAACGTTAACTGAGAAATCTGGCTCCTTGTCATTTGCACCACACCAAAGGTCCTTGAGAGCCATGTGCAGCGAGTGGCAGCGGGGATGGACCGCAGAAGTCGAGAGCACGTCCACCATCGTGGAGCGTGCTACCGGTCAGCAAGCCCTCATCCCTCCTGCTGAGACGTACACGGTGCCTCCCAGTGACACAGGTAAACCCAGTGGGACCATGTGGGAGTCTCAAAAGGCGCCTTCTCACTGCCACGGACTCCATTTTGCCATCTCTACAAAGCATGGGGGTGGGGCGTGGGGGCGCGAGCAGCGACCAGTCCCAGGCCACAGCAGCTTCTTTTAACACACAGCGACTCGAGGACGGAGCAGCCCAGCAGTCACCTTAACATCTGCCGAGCCCGCGAGATGAAGAGGCACAGGGGAGCACAGGGGAGAAGCACAGCTCCCTGCTTCTCACCTGTCAGGACTCATCCCTGCAGTCACCTGAGGCCTAGGTCAGGCCTGAGGCACAGGAAGGCGCCCTCACCTGAGGCCTACGTCAGGCCTGAGGCACAGGAAGA